AACTCAACCCTGTCAAAGCTGCAAAGTTTTCCTTATTGATATCTGGGGGCTAGTCCTAAAATCGGAAGAGCTGTCTCACAGACCAAAGTACATGTGAAACATAGTGCTGTGCCTTTGACTGACATTGCCAAGGGGCAGTAAATAAATGAGAAATGGGACTGGGCCAAAGAGTGATCCCTGGGGAACACCCAAGATAACAGTGTAGAAAGCGGAAGAGAAGCCATTGCAAATAATTCCCTTGCTATGACTAGATGGATAAGAAAGGAAGCACATGATCAGTTATACCAACAGAGGGGACATTAATGGAAGAATGGTGTGGTCGACCATGTCAAAGACCGCAGATGGGATGAGAAGGATCAAGGAGGAGAGATTACCTTTGTCACAGTCACACAGGACATTGTTTGTGACTTTCGAGAAATTCAAACATGAAATTCCAGATAAAATAAGTTTGTCATCATGTTCAAAAGCTTTGGAGAGGAAATAAAGGTTTGAGGAGGAATAATGGGAGGTTGCAGAACTCTGAGATGTAGAAGTAACTGGGTATCTGCATGCATGAATGGCAAAAAGTTAGTTTGCAAGTGCAGCAAGTAATTAGGAAACCTAATAGAATGTTAGCATTTATTCTGAGGTAAATTGAATACAAAAGTAGTGAGGTTATGCTTCAATTATGCTCTGGTCATGCCATATTTGGAGTAATGTGTGCAGAGTTAACCAGTTAATTAAAGAAGGATGCAAATGTGTTGGAGGTAATTCAGAGAAGGTTTACCAGACTAAGACCTGGGATGGGCAGGTTGTCTTTTGAGGAGTGGTTAGACAGGCTAGACTTGTATCTGCTGGAGTTTAAAAGAATGAGAGGTGCCTAGATTGAAACATATAAAATCTTGAAAGGTCTTGACTGGGCAGATTTACAGAAAGTATTTCTTGTTCTGGAAGAATCTAGAACTAGGCGGTCACTATTCAAAAATGAGGGCCCCCCCCATTTAAAACAAAGATGAGGTGAATTTTCTCTTCTCTCAGAAGGTTATTAGTTTTTGTAACTCTCTCCCTGAAAAGGCGTGGAGGAGTCCTTCAATATTTTTAAGGCAGAGGTAGATATATTCTTGTTAAGCAGGACAGGGTAGGCAGGAATGTGGATTTGAAGTTGGAATCAGATCAACCAGGATCTCAATGAATTCCAGAATAGCCTCAATAGTTTGAATGGCCTACTGCTGTTTGAAATACATTCATATGGAATGGTAGTTTGCCAGCACAGAGAGGTCAAGAGTTGATTTTTTAAGGCGATGGGTGATGACAACAGACTTAATGGAGAGAGGGACAACAGCTTGAGAGAGAACCTTTTACAGTATTGGCTAGTATTGGAACTATCAGGGGAAGTTGGGTGTCTAGCAGTTCGGTGGAAATTGGACTAAGGGAAGATGAGATGGGTTTCATGAGCAAAGTATACTCAGAAAGGCATAAGAAAGGATAGAAGGTTAACCAGAGAAAACTTCAGGCCTAGTAGGTTTTAGGGCAGGCTAGTGAAAGGTTTGTCTCAATCTTAGTAACAAGGAGGCCCATGAGCTCTTCACACTCGTTGATGGTGAGGGTATAATGGACAAAGGAGAGAGATTTGAGGAGGCAGTCTGCAGTCAAAGAAATGATCGAGGAGTCACCTTTACTTTCCAGTATGATTCAGAATAGGATATACAACACAGAAACAGGCCATTCAGACTGTCTAGTCCATGATATGTTTATTCTTTATTCTATCCCCTTATATCTCTTCTCATTTAGTCTACCATTGTAAGTGACTTTTTTCCCTCAAACACGCCTGGCCATCCTTAAATATAGTGTGTGTGTGTGTGTGTGTGTGTGTGTGTGTTTTTGTGTGTTTTCCTGCTGCAAGCAATGAAACCTTTGCTATTGAACGTGTGATAAGATTTTATATAATAGAACAGATAAATAAACTTCACAGAGTGGGGATGTTTGAAGTGTTTCTAAAATAGTATTAAAGGGTTTTTTTTAGAAAAATAGGAGCATATCACAATGTAAAATCAATAGAATAGAATGAATGTAAAGTAGAACACGTGATTGCTAAGATTTGTGAGCAAATTCTGCCATTTGACAATATTGTTTGGATGGGACTGCAACAAATAATGATAGTGCTCTGTTAGCAGAATTACTTCAGATTGTTACAATACTGCTTTCTAGCCATCACTGACTTGATTCTGGAATAAATTTTCTAGCTGCAAGGTCAGGCTATTGTCAGGCATGCCACCAGTGTTTTACTGTCATTTAAGAAAATAGGTTTCAGAGACTTTGTGAAGTGCCGGGAGGTTGTCTCATAGCACGCCATACAAAAATACTGACATGTCCTTGAAGACAAGCACAACATTTTGTCAGTATTAATTTTGCAGCTTTATTTCCTACAGCAGCAGATAGCTAGTCTGTGTGGGGATGTCAGATTTGAAAAGGTCAGCACTGAATGGAAAATTGTCCATGCTTGAAGTTGTGTCTTCGCCACTTACAGCTGAACAACTTCATCCCAGGTATCACTGGCTCTCCTCCAGCTAAAAGAAATGATATTTCAGGCTGCAGTTGAATTAGAAAGCCTAACGTCTGGGAATGCTGTTCCATTCTTTCACATTGTCACTGAGGTATGATAGCCAGATATTTGCAACTACATTGCAAGGGACTTTATTTAAAGTCATTGGTGCCAGTGTTTACTCAATGCAGTCTGAATAACTGCAGCAGTTGAGTCAACAGTATCTGCAAAGTTTGCTGTACATCATTAAATGCAGGCAGTGAGGCCCAGCACACATAGCAACCGAACGTTTTCATTTCCAGAAGCCTGGTTCATTCTTTTTTTACGAGTAAGTGTTATTAAAAAATTTTATACTTTGTTTTCTCAGCGTCCTGGAAACTTATGATGACATTTGCAGGTTATTTTTTACATTATTTTGTAATGTGTTTTGTATGCAGCTGACTGAAATGAAAGTTTTTGCAATTGTTATTAATAAATGTTAATTTTTCTTATACAGTTTTAATACAGTTTTAACAGTAGGGTGATGTGATGTATAGGTAAGATTACTTTCAACTACCATCACAAACTATTTAAAAAATTCTTTAACACTTTGAATTGGTTGTTTTTGAGTGCACTGTCCATCGACACCGTTTTTGCACAGATAATGGTGTTAGATGAAGAATTTGGCATCCATCCTCTGTTAGGAGATGCTGTGTTTTTTTTGTAAAAAAAGACATTTTGTCGATTTTTTCCCTTACTTTATGAATTTGACGACTCTTAAAACATGACTGCTATTGGCCTGACTGCTGTGTTCATTACTCAATATACTGTATAAAAGCCACCAGCATCAATCACTTATCCATTAAGTGCAAAGCAGTCTGCTTGCCCACTGAAGCTTGTCGAATGGGCAGTGATCAGACCAGCAAAAGCTGCTGCATGCAATGCTGCTTAGTAATGCAGCGATAATCATAACATGTTTCAGATTTGCTGAATCTTTACACACCTCCTCCTGTAAAGCTTCCAAGGTTTGAAGTTTCATCAAAAGGAACTAAAGGTAATGGAGAATCTTTGAAGCTGGAGAGATTTTTCTTCTGCTGTCTGAATGAATCAGTGCATCTCTTTCAGTAATGGACTCTGCTGCACCCACAAGTATGCATGCATCCTTTTTTATTTTTATTAATGATGTCTTGAATATAAGCTGTGTATTTTTTTGTTCCTTTCATTTAAGTAGCTTTGATCTCTCAGCACTGGCTGCTGTAACAGCGGCTATTCATACGAGAGCACAAGGGCAAAATCCCAGATGTGAGAACCCGGTCTTTGGATGAAACTCATTAAATGTTCGTTTAGACCATTTGATGGTGAAATTCATGTGCTGTCTCCTAATTACTATGCTTGCAAAAGTTAAATTGTAATGGACTTTTGCCCTTTGAACGGAAATGGTATAAATGTGCCCGCTTGCCTTAAATGTCTTTGTTAAATAGCCTTTTAGTAAGTCACTAATCACTTTGAGCTTTACACTCATTCAGTTTTCAGTCCAAGTGAATTCTTAAATGTGTAAAGCTGCCAGCGTGACAGCTGAATGCAGGATATGTCAAAGTAGAGTAAGTTACCTTTGGTCTTAGGTCTAATCAATCAATTCTGCAGCAGATGGTTTTGGATGGATTTGTGGCTAAATCACCCCTTCCCCCTCTTGTGGTTGGAACTAAGAATCTTTGAATGGAGGGAACTGATTATTACACGAGTATAAATGCACAGCCTGCATGCACCTTCAAATGACAGGAGCTCAGCAAAAGTTCATGGTACTGTGAGTTCACATTGGCTGGATTGTTGCCGGCTGATGTACAATTAGAGGTCTCAGAAATGATAAAAGAGATGATTTCTGTCACTCAATATGTTTCTTGCAAGAAATGTAGTTTGAGAATGTTCACCACTGAGTGCTCGGACCGGAGTATGAGGCAAGTGAAAGGGATTAATATTGTGCAGGTGCAAAGCTAGGGTTCAAACACTTGAATATCAAAAACCTACTGAAGGTTTCAGTTGACGGTTTATGAAATATTTCATTCTAAGATCATAGCCATAGATATAATTTCGCAAAAAAAGTGAATTATTTGGTGAAACATGAATATTTTGCGTGATTAATCTAAAATGTACATAACCTATTTCCTGGCTTTGTTTTGGTCTTGGTAATAACAAAATTCTTTGATACAGCTCTATACTGGTGAATGCTGCATTTCAGTATCACTATAACCTAATAAAAATTTTCTGTAAAAGGAATTTTACATGTATATTCCTGTTCATTGTTAATTGCGGTAATTTAATTTGTTGATGTGGATTTCACATCAAAACTGATCTTTAATTCTTTTTACTTTCAAGAGCACCTTGTTTGTGGTCAATAACATTTGAAATTCAAGAAAATGCCTTCATTTAGCCTCTTCATATAGTTTGTAAATTTTAATTATATTGAAGCTGATTCTATTAATCTGTTCCACTTTAATTACAGATAATCTGGTAAGAGGTGGCAAAACCAAAGATACTCTTGTTTACTTATTGTGGTCTCAACAAGCTGACATGAAACTCTCACCACTTATTCTGCTTTTGGCCATTCTAAATGCTGAATTGATTGGAGTCCTTGGTACAAGCTTAAAGTCACAGCGGTTTAAAGGACGTGTACAGCGTGACCGAAGAAACATCAGGCCCAACATTATTCTCATCATCACAGACGATCAGGATGTGGAGCTTGGTAAGGATGCTTTAATTTCATTTATTTGCCAACTGTCTCTCCTTTCATTTCCTGAAGACAGGCATCTGTGGCTAGGCACCTACTTCAATGAATACACATACTGGGGGTACTATATGTCTAATCCCAACAATTCCGTATTCGGTCTCTAGAAAACAGTCAGGAACAGAAACTGTAACTGACTTATGTTCTCTAACCTAGACGTATTGAGGCTAACACCAGCATTCCAAATGTAATTTTTTGACATTAGCAAATGTAGCACGAGCCAGAACTGAACCTGCCTCTGACAATTGTGTATACCTTATTTATTCATTCGCTAGATTCTCTGGAGCAATTTTGGCATGTGCCCCAATGCAAACGGGTGATAGCGAACATCTAAACAGATTTTTATTTCTGCTGATGTGAACAAAATCGAAATAAAGATCTGGAGGGACATGAAGTATATGCTGATGTACCATCAGCCACTTTACACCATCACTCATGACAAAATTACCCACTGCGCGTCATCAGGGAACCTAGAAAAGATGTAGGGCTCTGTTTTAACTTTTAAAGAATGGAAGTTGGATGGACTGTAAATGGATGTTTGACCCAAAGTTGCCATTCTCCACCATGGGAGTTAAAATATACCTCTTAATTTTATTTTTCTAAGTTTTAAATTTAATTCACAGATAGAAACTAATATCAGCTCCAGGTACATTGGATAGCAAAATAGGTAGATGAAAAACATCTAGACAGGTTACAATCGTATTCTCACATTGTTCAAGTTTTCTATTTGAGGTAATCGCAAGATCCCCTAAAGTGTGAACTAATCAAGCTTGACATTGATCCATACATGTGTGAATTTATAGCATTTAAGTACAACATTCTGTTTTTACACGGAGACAGAGCTTCTTATATTGATATTTTCATCCCCAGCAGCACTGGGAATTTGATGCTTTCCTCCTGATACTGGAAAGCTGTCAGCACTGATTCACCCTGTGAAAGATTGATTTTTTGTTCCATATGTTGATATATAAAGATTAATTGCTGCTAAAATAATAGCTCGTACATCTGAGTGTGTACATCTGGACAGTTCAAATATCCGAGTGTCTCATACAACCTCTTAATATGCATGTGAATGTTAAACAGCTTGGAAAGCATTGATTGATAAATACTGGAGGGTACTGCAAATTGTAGTCAAGTGTAGCATATGAGAGCAAGAGCTGCTCTGAGATGCATTACAAGCATGTATACGTTTCGAAGCTGGTCTCTGGCCTTGAAATATATGTTGTAGTGCAACATAGTGCACCATGTTGTAGTGCAGTTGAAAAAATGTGCCATTCCTGAACATCTGCTTTGATATTGCCTTGCTTATGAATATATGACCCCCAGCCCATAACATCCCTCTGTTGACCGACTCTATGGCATGCTGTCGTAGCTCTGTTCTTAACTATCCAAAGATACACTATGTGTTTTCAGCAGTGATTTCTGTATTCTATGCTTTACCCATTTGAAACAGATCATGAGCAGCCTAATGAGTGGTCCTTAAATGGGTGCTGTTGCAGACTGTTCCAGAACTGGAAGGAGCAAGAATACCTCCTACCTGTAGATGCACCTCACTCTTTTAGGATGTGACCTGCAAGTTTGCTGATTCATTGAACTGCTGGATTTTTGACTGCCTACTTTGAAAAGTTGCCTGGGTAGGTTAAGGGATCAGCGCTAGCATGCTCCTGCTCCCATCCCATTTTGCCAATCCCTTTCAGCTCCAATCCTTAGATTATTCAATGACATTCATTAAAGCAGGCATGTCAATCGTCATTTTATTACCAATGTGCAGTGCCCTACATCTATATAGAATTTTATCCAGCCACTTCTAGATTATGTAATTTAGTTTCTCGGCTGCTTTTTTCAGATTCAATTGCACATGCAACCCAAGTTGGTAACATCTGCAAATTTGACTGGCTTACATTGTTATGAAGTTGTGTAGAGTACTCATGAATTGGAAGGCAGGAAGCTAGAATTTGTAAAAGTGATAGGGGAGGGGAAAGAGTGCATAGTTCCTTTAAGAGGTAAAGTGCTTTTCTAAGATCGGAAATTTACACAGAAAATGTGCCTATAAGCAGCTGAAGAGATAAGACCGTTCTGAAATTGAAGCATGTATCAATTGGCTGTATGATTGGAAACCTTAGGCTTGTTTTGATATTTTGGCAACAATCTTGAAGATTAGCCAATTAACTTAAACCAAGCACTTAGAGATTGAAAAACAATTGAATTTAAATCTCATGGTTTTGACAACCTCAGACCAATGCTATTGTAAGAAAATTAATATGTCATCCAAGGTTTATGTGAAGAGGGTTTTTCTGAAAACTGGGGGAGAGCAACCCGCCATCTGAAAAATAAACATCTAGCTCTCACAGAAATCTCATAGCTTTCTGAGAAAGCACCATCTATCCATAAAAGGTGCCACGACACTTCTAGCTAAAAGGCCTCACAGAAGAATTCACAGAGAAAACATCCCTGTCACAAAGATCAGTTCAAGAAAGGCATTTCTGACTGGAGAGAGAGTGGAGAAGGCAGAACATTCTGGAAAACACACCCTGTATGGACATTGAAAGTCTAAGTTTTAATTTAGTTTTCTTATTACTTGGGTTTATGTAAGTGGGAGTTGTGTGTATTGGACCAGCATACCAGTAGAATTTTGTTCAGTTAGGAAATAGTTAGTAGTTAGGGAGGAATTAGTTCTGTTAATTTGTTCACTGTTAGCGTTAAAAATAAATAAATTATTACATGTTGTTTATAGAATGAGTGAAAGGATTTCATTTCATTTAACCTCTTCTTTATAACAGATTGAAAGATGAAAGGCGGGGTACACCATTTTTCCCACTTTCTTTATCAGATTACAAGGCCTCTCTGGGTGTTTCGGTTTTAATTATTAGAAGGGGACCTCTACTCCCGCCATAACAACATCGATTTTCTGAATTTAAGTCATTAACATAAATTAAAAATGGTGGGGATCGCAGCATCAATACCTGAAGCACTCCATTCAATATTCCCTCACCCTGCCACTCATCACTCATATTGTTGCGTACACTTTTGCCACTTTTTTAATCCCTTTTCAGCTTTTTTTTATTGCAAATCTCCTACAACTCTAGGCTGGGAGGGCAGTTTGCAATTTTTTTTTCAAATGCTTTTTGGACCTCAAAGACACAGCAAACTATTCCACTGTTCCAGTTAGGACATCACTTTCTCAAAAAAGCCAGGCAGGCTGGTTCTATATTTATTATTTTTTTCCTAGATTGTCATTATTTGGACGCTCCTAGGTTTATTGCCAACAATCCGTTTTAATGCTCTATCCATTATTACCAAAAACCAGATAATTGGTTGGATCTGTTCTTGAACTAAAATAGCCATAATGGTAATGTCCTGGGGAGTGTTGCTGAACATACAGACCTTGGAGTACAGGTTCATAGTTCCTTGAAAGTGGAGTCTCAGGTTGACAGGATAGTGAAGAAGGCATTTGGTACACTTGCCTTCATTGGTCCATGCATTGAGTATAGGAGTTGGGGAGGTCATGTTGCAGCTGTACAGGACATTGGTTAGGCCACTATTGGAATACTAGGTGCAGTTCTAGTCTCCCTGCTATAGGAAGGATGTTGTGCAACTTGAAACGATACAGAAAAGATTTACAAGGATGTTGCCAGGGTTGGAGGGTTTGAGCTATAGGGAGAGGCTGAATGGGCTGGGGCTATTTTCCCTGGAGCATCGGAGGCTGAGGGGTGACCTTATAGAGGTTTATAAAAGCATGAGGGGCATGGGTAGGGTGAATAGCCAAGGTCTTTTACCTGGGGTGGGGGAGTCCAAAACTAGAGAGCATAGGTTTAAGGTGAGAGGGTAAAGATATATAAGGCACACAAGGAGCAACTTTTTCATGCAGAGGGTGGTGCGTGTATGGAATGAGCTGCCAGAGGAAGTGGTGGAGGCTGGTACAATTACAACATTTAGGCATCTGGATGATTATGTGAATAGGAATTGTTTAGAGGGATATGGGCCAAATGGAACTAGATTAATTTAGGATATTTGGTCAGCATGGATGAGTTGGACGGAAGGGTCTGTTTCTGTGCTGTATATCACTATGACTCTATGACTGGATAACTGCATAGAGGTTGGTATCCCATCACCAAGTCACCCTTTATTTACATGTGCATGGTACATGGGCTCCGACCAGCCAGCTCAGAGCCAGACCCTGGACTGAGGAGACTCTCTGAAACTCCGATTTATATCTGTCAGCCAGGGCTCGCTGATTGGCCCAGGTGAACGACCCCAATCATGGATCTCATAGTGAGTGAAATTTGAAAATAATTATTACATTTACACGTTTCCAACCTACTAGTTCACTTTATTAACTTATTGAAATTTTCTCACACCAACACTTATTAATTGAAAAAAAACATCGAATACAGTTCTTCCAGAAGCAATGCCATCTGTTTTATTTTAATTCAAGATATAATTGTTAAGTGTTTCAAATTTATCTATAGTGAATAATTTTCCTGTGAAACTTTGAACTACAGCAGACTCCGTTGCTGGTGCAGCATAGAATAACCTCAGAGTTTGAGACATTATAGTATGGTTCAGAAATTTCAGAGTAGTTTGCTCCTGATTGTCCACCATTGATTGAGTAACATTAATTACTTGTTGGGCCATCATGTTGCATTTTCAAACCTGACCCCAAAGATTTGAGCATGTCTAGACTTTTTGATACCAGCAAAACTCCCTGTGATTCCTGACATTATGACTTACTGTGATGAATAAAATATGCAACTTGACAGATCATACAATCTCTGCAGTTTGGAAGCAGGCCACTCAGCTCACACTGGCCCTCCGAAGAGTATCCTACCAGACCTACCCTGTCTCTGTAACCCTGCACTTCCCATGGCTAATTCACCTGGCCTGTACATCCCTGGAGACTATGGACGATTTAGCATGGCCAATCCACCTAACCTGCACATCCTGGGATTGTGGGAGGA